CAATTAATCGCCCAGCAAAATTTATTATCATGACAGGCCTAATTGTGATGCTGTAATTCTGAGTGTTTTATGTGCTGCAGAACAGGAACCTGCTGTAAAACAGCAATTATGCTGAGTCAGGCTTGATTTTTAATAATCTTTTCCAGTAAAATAAATCAATCAAATCAAATCAATGTTTTGTGGCTCCTCTGTGGTGTTGCTGTTCACGAACCTTACGGTTGACTTTGCGTCGACTCGTCATGCGTCTGAAGTCGTACAGCAGGGGAGTGAGGAGGGGGTTCTTCCCTCTGTGCACGTCCGGCTTGGCTGGTCGAACTCGCTTCAGACACGCAGGCTGACACGTGTGTGCCAGGTAGAAGATCCTGTCCGTCGGCGCTCTGTAGGAGGGCTGCTGAGGGATGGTGGCCATGGCGTGTGTCACGGGAGGCGGGACGGCAGCTGCAGCGGGTTGCTGCCTCTGGTACAGAAGTGTGGAAGTGGATGTAGGAGTGCCGAGAGGGCTCAAGATTTTTCCACTGTGAATTCAAAAAAGGACAAAAACTAAAATTACCTCCTATAAACTGAAAAGGGGCTATTTTATTATCAGGGTTCCCACACCTTGGTCAACATCAAATTCAAGGACTTTCCAGTACCAATTTCCTCAAATTCAAGAACCACGCGTGATGGCAATTACCTACTGCTACTGCAGAATGTTACCAATAAACAGGTTTGTCTACCATAATCCTGAGTTATCATGTGAATAAAGAACTTAAATCCCCAAAAAACATTCAAGGACTTCCAAGGGCAAGTGTAATTTTTGGCTGTTTTCACAAAGTTTCCAGGGCCTTGAAATAGTTTTTTCAAATTCACAAACTTTCAAGGATTTCAAGCACCTCTGTATTAAGCTAGAATGATTTAGAGCCAATCATAAAAGCACATTTATATAAAATATATCATAGAAATGTTTGAACGTTCAGACATTAGCTTAAAACTAGGGCTGTGAAATTAATCGAGTTAACTCATATTGATTAATTTTAGTGCTGGGCATAGATTAAAAATTTTAATCACGATTAATCTGACCTTTTTTTTCTTACAAACATTCACTTGAATATGCAGGTTTGTATATTGCAATGCACTCAGAACATGCCAGGTCATGTTTGTAAATGAAAAGGGGTTCTCAAACAGTTTACATGGATAAATGAAGGTTAAATAAACAAAATAAAGGGGCGTGGTTGGGAGGAACGGCCCCCCCGATCTGAACGAGTGGTGTTCTGTTGTTGGACTTCTGTGCTCGTCACGGATCGTCCATCACGAACACCATGTTCAGGCATAAGGGTGTCCATATGTGCACTTGGCACCAGGACACCCTAGGCCGCAGTTCGATGATCGATTTTGTCGTCGTTTCATCGGAGCTGCGGCCGTATGTCTTGGACACTCGGGTGAAGAGAGGGGCGGAGCTGTCAACTGACCACTACCTGGTGGTGAGTTGGCTCCGGTGGTGGGGGAGGAAGCCGGTCAGACCTGGCAGGCCCAAACGTGTAGTGAGGATCTGCTGGAAATGTCTGGCGGAGTCCCCTGTGAGACGGAGCTTCAATTCCCATCTCCGGCAGAACTTCGAACACGTTCTGGGGGAGGTGGGGGACATTGAGTCTGATTGAACCATGTTCCGTACCTCCATTGGTGAGGCGGCTTATCAGAGCTGCGGCCGCAAGGTTGTTGGTGCCTGTCGCGGCGGCAACCCTCGARCCCGTTGGTGGACACCTTCGGTGAGGGATGCTGTCAAGCTGAAGAAGGCGTCCTATCGAGCCTACGGGTCAACGGGCCTCCAGAAGCAGCTGATGGGTACCGGCGGGCGAAGCGGCATGCGGCTCGGGTGGTCGCTGAGGCAAAAACCCGGGC